CTCAAAGAACATAGATACGCCATAAGAAAAGCATCTAATTCAACGATATTGTCACAAATGGCGCAAGCGCAAGGCTCTGAGGTTAAATGGGATGAGGCAACAATCATCAAGCCTCTGTCTTCCCCAACTCTAGCAATGACGGCGGAGAAAATTGAAATATACAGAAGTAGGATAGGGGAAGGCTGTTTAAATGCGAGAGATGCGGAGAGCCTACCATCGGCATGGAAATATTTGGTTAAGAAATATACTAGAAACTTCGACCAGAATTAATCCATTGAAGATTTATGTTATTTCTGTTTTAATTAATTAATTTATTTATTTGTTTATTTATTCTTCCGTTATTTTTTACTTGTAAAATTTTTTGATTTAAATATTTTTATGTTCTATTTATGGAACATTTGCGTTCCATTTTTTCGACCTGAAGATGGCCTATTAACTAGGCTGAAAACGTTTGTTTTTGCAAATTATATTTATTTCTCGGCAAAAAATGGTGTTTTCTTTATTATTATTTAGTTGCTGAGCGCTTTTGGTATTGTTCCCCATAGTTTACTGAAACTTTAAATGTGCTCATCTTATGGTATCTATCCTGTGAATTTAGTAATGTATTTAAAGTTCCTTCAAGACCAAATGTGCATTTACCTTTTGATTTGTTCACCAAATGTACCATATTTACTTGCATATAAAACATCCTCGCATATAGGACGAGGTGTGACTGTAAAAATCAAAATATAGAAAATTAGATTTATTAATATAATTCTAATTTTATATCGTTTAATTACAAGTAATATATAAAATGCATGTAAATACACACATTGTCCTGAAAAAAGTACTGGCATTTTAACTTCAAGGAAAAATCTTGTAAAATCAACAACATAATTTTTTCACGTAAAGCTGGACAATCGGGAACCTGTTTGGCCAATTCTTAACAGTCGAATCCACTCTCCGTCGATTACACTTATGAGTTTCTCCAAATTCTAATTTCCGAATAATCATCCGTTTTCACGTGAGAATGGATAGAACTTTATCCAGCTCCCGTGTGATTTTGGAATTCAATTCAAAAGATTTGCTTTTCCTATTGCTATTCATCTTTACTCCTGACAATATACAAGAATGATTCAAATGACCCTGATAAAAAACTTGTTTTTAAATACAAGAGGGTAAGCATTCGGTAAAAAATGTGAATACACAGTTCACACAAATTATTGCAAAAATGCAAAAAAATCTTTCGTTCATGCATATAGGATGACCCTAAGTTTTTGAAGCAGTGAAAAATGAATAAAAACCTCATCTTATATGTGAGTAAATATGGTAATTTTACTTTATTGTTTACCTTGAAATTTTATTGTTAATATTGGGAATTTATTTATACCTGTCTCATACAGTTTATTATGTAACAACTGTATAACAACTGAAGAGGGACAATATGAGTCTGAAATGCATTTTGTTAAAAGTACCCAAAAAGAATAAAAAGAGTTATAACATACAGAAGTTCTGATGAGTTTGGGAAAAACAGCACTATAAGGTTGTTGAAATAATAATCTGATTATTGTTTTCATATAACTTACCCATGTATTTACTAAAAGAAAAGCAAAGAAATAATATGATTATGCATCTGGTAATAAATTTGGCAATTTCTCTTGCCAAAGATGTTTATTATTTTTCAATTTACAATTTTGTATGGAACTGGAGTTTTGAAAATTATTGGAGAATGGTAACAAATATGCTGGAAGAATTGTAGTATTTTTTGCATCACCTGCCTTTGTTGTTAAGTTAATTGGTGACTTAGTGCACTGCATCTGATGTCCTCAGCCATTTTAATTCAAGTAAAATGAAGATTCAATGTTAAAGTAATGCAAGTTTTGAACAGAAAAATTTATAACATATTAAGGTTAATCTTTAATGTAGGGCCTTTTTGCTGATTATAGAAAATAAATTTAAGAAGACTCATAACATAAAGAAAAGGGAAATACTTACAAATGAGCTTTCTCTAATTCCTTTTGTTTCTGAAGATTAATTTCATTATATTTTAAGACTCGACTTTCTGGAACCCATTCATCCCAACTAAGAAGGAAGAAGAAAAAAATTGTTATTAGAGAAAAGTATCAAAACTAAAATTTATTTTACATTTTAATTATTTACTTTTTATTCCATCCACTGTAGTGGATGAAGTATTTCACTTGTTTTTCTTTCACTTGAGCTTTTATACACTGAAATGAGAACAGAACAGAATAAAATAATGTGATAAATGGAAAGATAATTCTACTTAATACAATAAAGAAATTGTAGGTGTGTTGAAAATGCTCTTCTTGGAATAAAAAAGCCTCTTATAAGACTGAAATACTTTCAGGCTCTTCTCATCATGAGTTGAACTCTTCTTCAAAGGCTTTTGGACTAAACAAGGATTAGGAGAAAAATTTGAGCAATTTTAGTATATACAATCTACATCAGGAGTCATCAATAAGTCCTGATAATAGATTTGTATACAGCCTGATCATGTTTGAGTTTTCTAAGATTTTATATTCCAAGAAAAGTAATTCAAATCAAATTTAAAGAGCTTTTTTTAACAAGCATGTTGTAAAAACAAACTTACTTTTGCTTCATATAGTAGAGGTCCATGAAAACAGAGGACTTTTTCGCCTAGTAAAAACAACATATTTATCAATATTTAGGTATAGAAATACTTAGAAAGTTGTTTGAAATAACATCTAAATTTGTTATTATGTACACCAGACTATGCTGTGTAACATGAAAAAGAAGTAAAAGTGATCATTTATTTAGTACAATATGCAAATGTACTCTGTCCTCAAGTTATTATATTGGAGTATTTTATTTTAAAAAATTCTAATGTTTCCATTATTATTAATCACCTTCAGGATAATTAAATTGTAAACAAGAAATTTAAAAAAATAAATTCAACGAATTATCAAAAAGTCATTAAAAATCTAATCTAAAACTAAAATTTACACCATCAAAACAAGACTTGCATGACAAGTACACTGTTATGAAAATTTGGTTATTTAAAGTCAAACTAAAATATTACGTTGATGCTTAAGCTTGTGCTGCATCATTTTTCCTCAGTGTAATTGCTGATGTCAAAGTATGTCATTTTGAAGCATCTCACCAATGCCAACAATAATCAGCATGTTGTCATCTTGTGTCAACTTTGTTAATATTACTGTGTTTGAGACTAACAGCAATCCTTTTCCTTCATTATCATAGGCCATTGCCTGTGACAATTGGGACAGGGATTGCTGAAATATGGTGCCTATATGTCAATGTGAAGATACAAAATGAGTGGATGACCCCATGGAAATGGGCAAAATCTATATCCTAATCCTTCATCTACACAAGACCATGTTGTATGGTGAGATATAGAGGGCAAATTGCTCCTGAGAAATCAAACAGTCGTTGATGCATAGCATTGGGATTAACTCTATTGGTAGATGCCATTTGCTGTGCTACTGCTTCACAATAATGCAAAATGACTTGTTTCTCACTCTATTTCAAGATAAAAAATATGTCATTTGCTACTGTCATTTAAAATATATATGTGTCCTAAAAGATCTTAAGCTTTCTGCCTGTACATAATTCTCATTTAGACTCTAACAATTAAGAGCTAGCCTACATTATTTCCATACTCTACTTAAGAAGGTTTGTCATCAGTTTGAATTCTGCTAACCTTTGTGTAATTTATCTATTTGCAACTCCTTTATTAGCAATTTGTTCATTGTTCTTAACTGTGATTGCTTTACTCAGAAGACCCTTGCATCACAAAAAGATAAAGCAAACCTAAGATATTTGTAATCAGAACTGAACACATCTTCCTTTTTGTCATTTTCTTTTGGAGATTATGGTAGAGTAAAAGAGGCATTTTGGCACAAATGCCATTTGAACATCTAAACTCCCTCCATTTCAAGTCACTTTCATATTGTTTGAATTATCTACAGTTAAATCAAGTTCAACTTCTTTGTGTGAAACGTAGTCAGCAAGCAATTTCTAAGAGGAATGTTTTTAGTCTTTCAAATAAAAATGACAAAGTGAAGAAAACAACAGATTAATATGTCATCAACTCTGACAATAATGTTATAAAATTATGGTAAACTGAATAAATTTTATGTTTAAATTACATTATTTACAATTGGTCTGGTGCCTATTTTTATATCAAATGTCATAAAATTACTTTATTTCTAGCTTAAAATTAAACTGGAATAAATCTTGCATGATCTGTTTATTTAATTTGAGAAAAATAATATTTTAAGTATAAATTATTATATTGACAGTTTAAATAGTAATCAATTTATTTATATGATTTAGTAAGAAATCTATTGTAATATGTTTATATTAATACACATTTTATTAAAAACATTAACAAAAATATTATGAACATATATAAAAATAATGCTTTTGATTTTAATTCATTTTTTTAATTTGTTAAGGTATTTAATATATGTAGAAACTAAATGAGGATCATAAATATAACAGAAACACACCTTCTTTGTATCCAGCAAATGAATTTAATAAATTAAAAATACTTTTGACTGCCATTTATAGGTTTATCAAGTATCGCGAAATCTGATATGTATATAGAAACATAACCAAACGATCGCCTAAATAATCAGGCTATAACTTTGCTAATTTAATGATTAATGCTAAGTAATTTGCTACTAGAATAGATGTTAGGTGCCATTTCTTAACTAAATTAATAATTATAATTTTGTTAATTTATTATATAATTTAGAACCACCTGGAAGAAAAAAACTGACCTGGGGCTTGAACCCAGGACCTCATCTTGCTGTGTGGTGCACTTGCATGGTGCACTTGCCAGCTGCACCACCCAGAACACGAGCAAGCCAATGCTCCCAGACGTATTTAAATTTTAGATATAACCTTTACTAAGTAAATATCAAACTCAACATTTTTAAATACTTAATGAAACATCAAACACCTTATATCACTGAGAAATGTTTATTTAATGAAACACCAATGTTTTCTGCCTCATAGAATAGGCCATCTTCAGGTGTAATTGAATTTGAATGTATTTTAAAATTGTAATGATGGAATGTCCGAACATTATACAAGGGATGATCAAAAACTAAGGTTACAAAGCCTGCAGTGAAAAGTATACATTTTATTTCATACAACCAATACAGCCAACTGATAGTACATACATTAGATTATTTTTCAACATAGTCTCCATATTGGTTTAGGCACTTGTCACTTTGTGTGATGAGTTTGAAAATTCTCTCCTGGTAAAAATCCTGTTCTTGCATGTTCATCCAAGTTGTTGCGAAGTGTTTCACTTCCTCATCTGAAGCGAATTGTCGTCCTGCTAGGTTCTCCTTCAAGTGAGGAAACAGGTGAAAGTCACTTGGAGCAAGGTCCAGGCTGTAAGAAGTGTGGTTGATAATGTCCCAGCGAAACTGCTTGAACCGTGTGGTGGTCTTCTGGGCTGTATGAGGTTGTGCTTCCGAATGACATTCCCAATTCTACTGTCATATGCTGTAATGTGATCCTCCTGTTGTCCTGAATCAGCTCCCCCACATGAGCTGTTTTCACATCTGTTGATGCCGTGCTGGGTTGGCCACTGCAATCCTCGTTGGTGATGTTTTCTCTACCAGCTGCAAACTTCGACACCATTCTGTGACATGCTGATGGGACTTTACAGTCTCTCCGTAAATCTTTACCAGCTGCTGGAGAATTTCAGCTGGTTACATGTTTCGACCACAGAAATTGACTAACCAAGCAGATTACTTCCTGAGACCAATTTTCCAAAGAAGTTGCCATTTGTGTTTACCTACAACTAGTGCTGTAGATCGTGGGTGGCTGAAACTCTGCACAGTTGCCAACTGCATGTATTGGAATTACCGCACACTTCTCATTTCTCTATAACAAACAAAACTCCAGGAATATCGGCCTTATAACCTTAGTTTTTGATTAACCCTCATACATTCAAATTTAGAACAAAAATAATAGATAAATTAACAAATAAATAACAAAATAAAACATACTAAATACACTGAAGCAACAACGATATAAATAATATAATAAAATAAGTAAAATAAAATAAAAATTAAATAAATACATAAAAAAGTGCATCAAACTATAAGGGCAGGTACGAACTAAGAATTTTTATCTTTTAATTTTTCTTTTATGTAGAAATTCCATGCAGAAGCTAATCCATCCACATCCTTGGCATTAATATAACCATCCTTTAATTTACTTTTATAGATTTCAATTTTTTCTTCATGCAAAGCTAATGATGGGGAACACACATGGTCTTGAGGATAGTTGCTTCACCTTCACTCCATTTAACTACTGAGTCCTCTGCTTGTGCCATACTTGACAAAACTGTGTTGCAATGCCGTTTATTAATGTCATACTTGTGTTCCTTAAGTCTAGTCGCTAAATTCCTTCTTCTGACCCCAATATAGTCCTTCTTAATCCTAATTGCTGATTTTCAAATGGAATTCTATATATGCCTGCCTTTTCTTCTTTCTTAAGCATGTCTATCATTTCTGAGAATACTATACAAATTAGGTGCTCTTTTATAAAATATTTTGGAGTGTTTTTTGTCCGAAGTTGGCGATTTTAAGCTGATTTGTTTGGGTTCTTAATTTTTTACCCCCTTCATATCTTTTAATTAGTCCTTCTATTGTACTCTTTTTATATCCCAATTTGAAGCTATTTCTTTGACTGTATTAATCTCTTTCATCCTGTCTAGTACATTAGAGCAATATAAATACACTCTTCTAATGAGTGCACAAAAAGCAAACAATTTTTATCCATATGGGTCATTTGAGTTAACCAGAATGTAAAGTGGACTATGTGTTGGTTCCAATCGATTGTGTAACAACGAGTATTTACATACCCGTTGTTATACAATCGGAATGAATTAATGAGAAAGTGGTCAAAAATTGACAAACAGAGTATACACAGGTTTAAAGAAAAGATATATCAAAAGAATGACATGGATCTTGACTAAACAAGTATCAAAAGAAAAGAAAAAGAACATAAACCCATCTCCTGTTGTTTTATGGGACCAAGTAGAAATACCAACTGAAATTAAGGAAATTCTCCAAAAAGGCTCTAACTTCATTCCGGAAGACGAAAACATATGAAAAACTTCAATGGCAGAACTGGAGAGAAGAATCTCAGAATTCAATGATTTAGAAAGAGATTTTTTTCAGATGGAAGACTGTTCTTAAAGATCACACCAGCAGAACAAAAAATAATGAAATGAACAGAAATTGGACGACAATGATTTGATCCTAACATGAGCTGACAAAAGTAAGCACTCAGTTATCATGAAAAGAAAAAACTACAACAAATTGTTAGAAGAATACATTAAAAGAACGGAATGTGAGCAGGACAATGAAAAAATTGTTACAAATGTAGACAGAAGGGTAAAAAAACTTAATAGAACACCATTAAGCTCCATATTAACTTTCCTTAAAGGATCTCATAACCCAAAGCCAGAATGCCAAGATTACTTGCATTTGCAAAAATACATAAGGCAAAGAGGTCAGACTTATGGTTGAGAGAGGCAGAGGACCCACATACATTCTGGAAAAACATTTACATAGATTCATTAGATTCGTTTCAGAACAACTAGGCAGCAATGTTCTCATCGCACAAAA